TTCACGAAGGTTGCTCAGAGTAAAGACCACTTGCTGTCGCCACTTCATGAAGAACTCTTGGAAAACTGCCTTTGAGTGAGGCGTTGAAACCGACCTTAGGACAAAGGAGAGTGGGGTGATCAGATATCCCAAAATCAGTTTAAATTGTGTACTTTAGCGAAAACAGAGACCAAGGACATCCTATTTTCTTATTCACAGGGGAGTAGTAATAAGGAAGTAAAGAATTTGTGTGTACAACTTACATGCCATCAGTCTGCTTTTGAACAGCCTTTAGCAAGCTTGCTAACTAACGACCGACCAGGACTTCTAAATCAAAAGTCAGGCTGAGGTGCATTGAATCACAACTAATTTGGTTATGAACTTATTTATCCATTGTTTTTTTCCTGGGTACATTTTGATGAGTGAGAGAAGAGGCTATAGCATGCATTTCTCTTGAACATTCTTTCCCTTGATAATTGAGCGTACTTTGGGCCGTAGATAGAACATTAAGGAAGGGTAAGTGGTATTGTTAGTATCCAACCTGATCACTGCTTTGCAATTTTGGTTTGAGTACCTGAATGTTCACCTAGAAAATAGAGCTATTATAGCAAGCACTAGGTCCCCAAATACACACCAGAGTACACACCCAAAATGTTCCAGTTGTTTAGCTTTTTTTCATCTTTTTAGTTTATAAACTATTAAAGATTAATTCCAGGGAAGAGCTTTTCAAGAGATAAAGGGATGACAAAATGTGGTATATACATTCCGTGGAATATTACTCTAGACACAGAGAAATGGAGTCCTGATACATGCTATATAGCATGTATGAATCTAGGAAAACATGCTGAATGAAATAAGTCAGTCACAACAGGGTCATGCCTATATGCTCCCCTTGATAGGAAATGAGCCAATGCAGAGAGCTATGTTTAGGGAATAGTGGTTCCCATGGGGGAGAAGGCTCCCTGGTGGCGCTGTGGGACTGCCAACTGCAAGATCAGCAACTCAAACTACCTGCGGTCCTGCCGGAGAAGGAGGCTATCTGCCCTCCTCAAGGTTTGCAGCCTCAGAAGCCCTGTATAAAGCTGATAGGAGCTCAAGTTGGTCCAATGGTGGTTTGTTTTGTTTTTGTTTCACTGCTGCAGGGTAACTGTGAGTCAGCATTGACTTGATGTCAGTGGGTGAGTGTGGGGTGAGGACGGGGTGGACACTTGTATTGGGGTATCATTGCTTAGGGGACTGCTGAGTTTCTGTTCATGGTGACAGAATAATTTAGGAAAGGGTAGTGACAAACCACATGATGGGTGGCAGAGAATCAATGTCGTAGAATTATGTATGCAAAAATGTTCAATTGGTGATAGTTTTGTTTTATATATTTGGACAACAATTTTTTAAAACACCAAAAATACTCAACTCTGTGACCCAGCAGTTCTACTTCTTCCTAAATGTGTGCCCCCTCCCGCCTCCCTGAATCATATCGAGAGATGAGTAAGGGCCAGAAATTACGGGAGATAGGAAGATGACTGTAATCCTAATTTTTATCATATGCTTTTATGGGAATATATGGGGTGTGTGTGTGATAATTCAGCATGAAATGTGATCCTTTTCAGACCATGGTGATGTACATAAGATATTAGTTCTGAAATATCTAGAGAGAATTTTAAATAACATACTTTGGCATTTATTTCAGAGATAGGACACAGTACTTTATGTGAAGTGAAGTGAAGTTGTTTGTGGTGGGATAGGAAACTAACTCTAAAAGCATAGCTTCTGTTTGTATTTCATTTTCCTGAGATGAGTAACCATGTATTTTATACAATTTAACGGTGCTCAATTTTTCTATGATTGGTTTTTGACAAAATTTGAAATCTTAGTTTTGTTTAAATTGATCTTATTCCTTCACCCAAAGACTGTGTTTTAATGGAGTCTGGGCTTGTGCGTTTTAATCTTGGTTCTGCTACCAGCTACTTGTGTAATTTTGAATAAATCACTTAATTTCCGCAAATCATAGTTAACTCTTCTATAAATTATGGACATCCACATTCCTGGATCTTTATGGGTTGTACCCCCCAAGCTCTGAGTTCCTAGGATTCTAAATTTTAAAGTGCTAGTCACGTCCATGTAATCTATTTTTCTTTTTTCGTAATTAAAATTGTTGAAACAGGGTAGACTAGCACAGTTTCCTTGTAATTCATTCACAGGACCTTTTTGTTTTCTTTCAGGAACTGTGTGAGTGTGCCTGAAGTTGTAATTGAGTATAATTGTGGTTAGACTTTCTCTTTCCTCAGGAGTGTTTATAAATTGCATTCTATGACAATGAGGGCAAAACGGAACCAGAAACTTAGTGACACTGTCAAAAAACAGTACAGGAAATGAGCACTGGCTATGTGTACATGACATGCCGCCTTGCAGTACATGAAATCTGTAATGTGTGTGTGTGTATATGTATATATACTTGCTGAGGGGTTCAGCTTTCATTAGTGAAGTAGTCACTAATGAAACGTGTATTACGGTTTTATAGAAAGGTGTAGCAATGGCATATTGTTTTTGATATGGATGGAGTGTTCTAAAATTAAGTTTTAAAAAATCCTTCTCTTACCCCTTTAGGGAAAAATTATTGTTGCAGAATTTATTGTCTCGGCTTTCATTGCCCCATTTCTGTCCTAGGAAGCCAACAAATACCTCTAGCATGAATGCCACCAGACACAACTATTACTTGCTTTTAATTAATTCCTTGTAATATGTTTTCATCTTTCTCCTTTCTTCTGTTTGAATCTTGGCTTTGCAACTTACCAAAATTTTGTGTGTGTGAGTGCAAATAATGCACCCACACATAAAACTTGCAAGGTGATGTACTTCTGGAAGAAAGTAATGTGTAAGTAGGCCATTGTACCAGAAGTGTGAGTACGCACAACCCGTCTAACATGCATGCTTTATTTGTTGGAAAATGTGGTGTGGTATACTCAACTCTGTATTTGCCTACTGTAGGCTTTTTCGTATGCAACATGGAGATGTTCACGTCTTCTATGATAGAGGAAAAATGAGAGACTCTGTATGCAAACACTTACACTGTGACAGGAAGATTGTGAGTGGTCAGTAACTGTGACCTCCCTTTTCCTCATGGACTCTACTGGTGAAAATTCACTGATTGTGAAGGCAGAGGCTATTCTGACCAGTGTGCCTTATGGAATTAGCCAGAAAGAATAGGGACCTGGCATGTTGCATCTAAAAATGGTTGAAGACTTTGTATGCCTAATTGGATGCCATATTTTAAGTAGTTGAACTTGCAAAGTGAAATCTATTGTGTTATTGTTAAGTGTAGAGAAGGGAACTGATTTGTGGCTTAAACGGAAGAAGGCAGCACCTTGTAAGGCATCAAGCAGCATACTGGCTGAGAACTTTTCTGAACAGAGAGAACTGATTAGCCCAGAAGGTTGACACTGGAGTGAGATGCCAACAGAACAAGATACCCAGGGGAGACTGTGTGGTGGAGCTGAGTGGATGGTGCATGCGGTAGATATAGGATTTCTACGAAAATCACATGCTTGGAAGTAATTGTGGTGTGATGGAGAGGAATTAAATAGAAATGTTGTATAATCTAAGTGCTTTTGATTCATCTTGAAAATCTAAAATGAATTAAACTAGTGACTATAGATAGTATTTAAGGATGATATTAATTAAAATAGATAATTGGTTTGGAAAGAGTTTCATATTTGCTTTTGATAAAGAATTCTAGAAGGAAACGTCACTGAATTGTAATGTTCTGTTGGTATTATTTTCATTAAGAGAGACTTAAACATCATAGAACAGGGGTCAAATAACTTAGTGAAGATAAAAGCTATGTATGCTGAAGAGCCCTGGTGGCGCTGTGGGTAAGCATTGGACAGATGACTGCAAGGTCATTGGTTTGAAGCCAATAGCTGCTGCTCCACAGGGGAAAGATGAGGCTCTCTGCCCCCACGAAGACCCCATAAAGATTTTCAGCCTCAGACATCCGGTGTTGGGTCACGAGGAGTCAGAATTGACTAGACGGCAGTGGGGCCTGGGATGCTATGAAGAGCACTGGTGGCGCAGTGGTCAAAGCACCCAGCTGCTAACCTAAAGGTAGGCGTTTTGAACTCACCAGTTGCTTCCTCCGTGGGAGAAAGACGAACGGTGAGTTGGACTCTGCTGGACAGCAGTGGTTTGGTTTGTTCTTTTGGTCACTGCTATCCTCCATCAGGGACAGGGACAGTACATTGGAATCCAAACGTGGGAAAGAACTTCAGGCGTCCCAGGAGGCAACATTAACCTTTCTCAGATAAGAAACAAAAGGACAGAGAAAACATGCCTGTCAAGAACGTGAAGCAGAGATTCCAGGTTTTCTCTCCTCTTCTTTTTTCCTCTCTTGTTTTCTTCCTTTCTATCTGCCACCCTCCTCCTCCTGGCCACCCATATATTATTAGATGTGTGATTTGTGGTAAATGGTGTGGATGTAAAGCAACACAAACTTTACATAGTAGTCCTTTCCTCCTTGGCATTCAGTTAGTAAATATGGGGACACTGGGGGATCAGTGGTAGGAAATCTTTCCCTTTAGGCAGGAGACCTGGCCCAGGTACCACCTCTTTGTCAGTAGTGACTTGGGTAATGCTGTGATGGGTCACCTTTTCCACCCGAGCTTCCAGATTAGGAAGAAAGGACTGCAATCACTTTTGGGGGGGACTGGGGGTGTGTGTGGGTGGGATCTACCTCAAACTCTGTTAATCATACAACTGATCGTGGGGGGATGGTACAGGACTGGGCAGCATTACATGTTCATCTGTGTGTGGGGTCTTCATTAGGTGGGGTTTGACTCCGTGGCATCTAACAACAAGAGGTTAATAAATGTGATTGATGATCTCCCCAGTGTAGTTGACATAGTAAGCATTAAAGCATGAGTCAGGCCACCGCTGGGCTGTCACTGCTTCAGCCGGGGTGACTTGTGACTGTGTGCAGTTCTCAACAGCCCCCATACCCAGCATCTAACGTGACCATGTTCCCCCAGGTCCCAGTGGCATGTGCTGGCAGAGTGCTGGGGGCAGAGTTTTGCCCAAACCTGGAGGAACCAGAGCAGAGGCTGGATGTCCAGGTTGGAGTCTTACTGTTTTATAAGGTGGGGGTGGTGTGACAGTGACCTTCGTTCCCGGAGGCCTTGTTTTTCTTCTCCATCAGAATGTGTAACAGAGGGATTGATGTGTAGTGTTTTGTCTCGTGAAATGCCCATTTCACCAGGATGGGTGACCCATTGCTGATAGAACGAGGTGTAGCAAGGATGATTGCCCCTGTTGACCAAAGTGGGCGTGAGGCATCTCACGCAACCCCACACATTCCTGGGTGGTGCTTCCTGGAAAGCAATCCACAACTAACGGAGAGTGTGACTTTTCAGATCCATCCAGAGGTGCCTCCCTAGAAAGAGCGGCTTCTGAAAACCCCGTGGAGCAGTTTTACTCTGTAACCCACCAGGGAGGGCTCCCTGAGGTGAATGTTTCAGGGCCTAGTGCTTCTGCTCATCAGTGGATCCTTGGATTTCTAATCATTTATGAAGCGTTGAGGGTAAATATGAAGGTTAACTAATAGGATGCATGTGCAACATGCAGCACAGGACCTGGCACACAGCAGACAGTAAAGGTCAGGTCATCTCACGTTCAAAGCATTGTGCTTCCTGCAGGACACTTGCTGCTTGCACTGTGGTCTCCCACACCCGAAGGACAGCAGCAATCAGCTGGGCATGTTAACGGAAAAGTAGGATAGATGTCTTTGCTCTTCCTAGACCGGGTGATAGGTAAAGTAATATAATAGAAGGTTGGTTGACTAAATACACGTGCAGTTCCTGGCTTGGAGTGGAATTCTGTTTTGATGAAGGGCACAGTCTGGCACCTTGGCCAAAGGCTGGTCCCCACTTTCATGTGTCTTGTCATATGTAAGGAATGTGTATGCCAGTGGTGCCAAAACAATGGCTGGAGTTAAAAACACAGATGGCATCCCCTAAGCGTGAGCCAAATGCATTCTTTTTAATGGAATTTTAATTGAGTTTTTAAAAAGAAACTCCATTGGACATCCTTTCCTGAATTGTCATGGGACGAGCGCTGTGTGTTCACTGATTCAGACACCCCGCATGAGAAAAGGGAACCATTTTTTAAAAATGAGCTTCTTCACCATGGGTGGGAAGTGGTGCCGGGAGGAGGTTTCTGCTTTGATGGCACTCCAAGGGAAGGCCATCTCTTACACACCTGCTCTTGGCCTGGGGAAGGCCACCTGGGCTCCGCTGGGCCACAAGCTGATGCCGTCTGGGTGGTGCATGGCTGTGCTACAATAGAGGAGCAGGTGTGACACATACGAGAGAGGCTCATGCATTTCCCAGGCTTCGAGAGCTAACAGCTTGTGTGTGACACGTGAATGCCGAGTGATGGAAGACCACGGGGGGAGAGTAGTGTGACCCTTGAACTCTTTGGGTGGGGCGAGTGATAGTGATGTTCTTCAGATATATCACCTGGCCTGCTCTGTCATGGGTAGTTGTGTTGGATGATGTGTTTTTGAACCTAGAGTTAGGGCGCAAGGAGAGATGAGTTCTGCAGGCCTGAGGGTGTAATAAAACTGAAAAAGATATATGGAGCACATCACTTTGATACAGCAAGGGAGAATAAACACACACACACACACACCCATTGACATCACTTTGATATAGCAAGGGAGAATAAACACACACACACACACACACACACACACACACACACACACACACACACACACCATTGGCCTAATTTGAGTGAAATTCTGCTCGGAAGGTAGAGAAGTAGATTATGGAGCTGACAGTGAAGTCTGGCTCTTGCAATGAAGATCGAGTTCTTGGGCAAGGTCCTGGCTCTCGTTCTTCTGAGACCATCGCTCTGTCTTGGCATTTTGGTGAACTGTTTGGGAAGGCTCAATCTGGTAAAAGCTGGCTGACTGTTGGGAATTTTTGCAGGTTCACAGAGACTCCCTTGAATCATTTCTTCTACTTCTCTTCCTGTTTTATACTTCTTCCTTCTTAAATTTGGTTTTAATGAATTTGGAAATGTATGGTAAACATCCCTATTATTTGAAAGCCAACAGATAAAATGTTCGTCATCAGCTAACAACTTTAGGGATGGTCTTTCAGTTTGGACTCCCTTCATTCTTGCCTTGGCATGTGTCTTGGCTCCACCCCTAGGGAATGAGCTGTTTCTTATTTTTAAGTCCGCTCTACACCTTAGAACTCCTACAGGGACTGCCAGAGCCTGAGCTGTGCTTGGAGCTCAGGTTTCCCAAGAGCACGCAATGTAACCCTGGAGGATTTGCTGTTTGGCCACACGGTCCTGAGAATTGCCTCTTGTACTCCGCGACTCGGGGCGCCCCCCCCCCCAAATCCCTGCTTACAAAGGATGATCCTTGAGAGGCACATTGCTGCAATGTCTGGTGTGCTTTTAGAGTTTTGCGCACATGAGTTCACATGACTGCTGGAGGCCTTGCCCGCTCTTATCTCCTTTTAAGGATTCACCTTTTATCCCTGAAAATTTACAACTTCTTAGCAACTTTATCATTTCAAAATCCACATTCCCTGACATTCTCCCATGAAAGCATGCGGTCATCCTTGAGCTGCTCGTGCACTGACTTCTGCAAAGGCACGCCTTAATGCTTGCTTGCGAGAAATGGTGGAGCAGCAAAGCTGTGGTTCACTTTCTCGCTTTCTATTCCTTAGTGGGTTTTGAAGTAGATGCAACGCTGTGCGTTAGTGTGGGTGGGTTAGTACGTTGTTGTCATTGGGTGCCCTAGAGGGATTCAACTCTTGGTGACTCTTATGTCGCCGAACATGACTGCCCCAGGGGGCGTTCCTGGGCTGACAGCTGTCTCTGTGGGTGAGCAGATGGCAGGTCTTTGTACTGTGGAGTCTCCAAGTGGGTTTATACTACCGAGCTTTCCCTGAGCCACCAAAACCAAACAGTTCTGCCATCTAGTTGAGTCCGACTCATGGCCACCCTCTAAGAGTGGAACTGCCCTTGTGAATTTGATTGAGACTGTAACTCTCTACAGTAGTTGAAAGACTCACCTCTTCCTTGTCTGAGCAGCCAAGGACTCCTTAATTGATAGATGTTACTGTTAGGTACCATCTAGTTAGTTCCAACTCATAGTGACCTAATGTATGATTGAAAGAAATTCTGTCCAGTCTTGCTCTATCCTCACAATTTTTATGTTTGAGCCCATTTTATAGTAACCCTAGAGAAACGTGTGGCCTTATGCAATCATTTTGTAAGAAATGATTCTGTTCAGTTAAACCCCCGCCAGCTGCTTTCAACTTACTTCAGCCATTCAGAAGTAAGCTACTTAATCTGGCCTTGCTTCATCCTGTAGTAAGTTGTTTCAATTAGCCCAGCAAGAGTGCTCTTTTTGCTTGGGAATTGAAAATGTGGGGTCTGACTTGGTATGTCTCACCACCGAAGTGCTTAGAAAATTACAGTAAATAAAGAACCAATATTTCAGTACCAGATTAGACACCATTTACTGTGGTGTTTCATAAACCACAGACTTCTGTCTTCTGTGAATGTGTGAAGCATCACTTTTTTCCCCCTTTCTCCAGACATACTGGGGTGCAAGTGTAAATTTCCATAAAATTTAAATGAGGTGCTTCCTATAATTAATGAACAATTGTGGCTGCTCTCTGGTCTGCATTGTAATTAACCGTGATCAGGCTTGTTTAGTGATGACACTGTTTCTGTAATAATTTGACAAGCTACTGTGAATTTGCCAGGTTATTAAACAACCTGCAGCATTCACTTACAGGCACACAGGGATGCACGTTGCGTCTGCTGCTCGTTAAATGCAGCAGAAGGGGGAACCCATTGAAGGGTATCTATCACTGTGAACAGATCGGGATTTTTTTGTGATTTGGAAGGAGTTTAATTAATTTTGTAGGGGGTATCTCAAAACTTTTATTCTGTGATAAATCTGGTGCAAGGGAGCAGACCGTTCTGGTGAACTCGCATTGGTGGGAGCAAACCCCTGGTTTAATCACCAATGTAGATTAAACAGAATCTGAAGTTCCCTGTCCCACCTAGAAGCGCAATGGTTTTTAGCAGTTTCCTTTCAAAATCCATTCACAATTTTCCTCCATTATCAGTTCATCCTCCCCCAAAACCAACCAACCAACCAGGAGATGACCTTGTGGCCCACAGGAATGCAGAACAGGTAGAATGATCTAAGAGGATCCTTAGTCTGACATCTATGGTCACTCCTGTGGCCTTCCCCAATGCACCACCCCCCCCCTTTCAGGTTAGGAACTATTCAAAACCTTACTGTCTAGTTACTGTGATGTCTTTCATTCAGATTCTGTTTATTGGCTAAACCACAAGGATTCCTGCCCAAAGTACCAGACGGGTTATGCTCGACTGATTTTCTACCATCAGCTGTGGGGTTTATTTGAAGAATGTACACACACTGCAGCTTTAACAAGTCAAGTGGCTGCATGTTGTTGACCATGGAGTAGAGTCTATCTGAAGATCATTAAATGTAGCCGAGCAGGGGGTGGGGAGAATAAGTGTAGTAGTCATTGTACCGCTGCAGCGTGTGTGTATGTGTGTGTGTGCGTGTGTGTGACACATGGTTTTTGTCTTTTCATCTTCTCCAAGAGCCAGAAAGTTTCCTGCCGCTCTCTTTCCAGCTATTGACAAATGATTGCCAGATGTGAGATCTTTGCAGCTCTCTTTCCCGGAGCAAACCTGCAGCGATGGGATATTTGATTCCCCCTTGCCCATTTCATCTCCTTTCCACATCTGCCAGGGACACACAAGCCATACATCCCTACATGAGAGCTTCGAGTTTACTCAGCTCCTTTCCCCCTCCAATAAAGTGTTTGGAGACAACAGAATGAGGTCCATATGACTCCCTCCCAACCTCACTGTCTGAAATTAGTTGTTTATTTTACTTATCTACCTCTTGGTAATGGAACGATTTCATGTTCGTTTGGGTGCATGGAAAAACGGACCCAACTCAGGGAGTGCTATTGTTTGCTTGCTGCAAAGGATGCTACCATTCCCGGCTTCCCTGAGATGGTCCCAGTTCTGAAGTTGTTTTTTT